TTGTAGAAAATTGTCTTTGAAAGGTTAATATTTATTTCTGCATTAACTTTTTTCTCTAGAGCCTGTAAAATAAAACGACTTACACTACAAAAACTTGAGACAAAAATGTGCAGCTTTTTTATTTTGCATTTTTATAAGGAAAATTTGAAACTCAAATCTAATAGTTTTATAAAAAATCTACTTTGTGTTTATAATTATCCCTCTTTTCTTTATGGTAGCTTTGTACAATGAAAAAGTGGGAGCAAATGAAAGGAAAAGGAAGCGAAGAACAACTATAAGGTATTCTTTTGAGATATTAAAATTTACTAGAGGAAGAAAAAGATATTTTACAAACGGAATGAACCTTTAGCATAATGTAGGTGAACTGAGTAAACTGAAGTCACAAGATCGTTTATAAAAGCATAACTTAACAGCTTAATTTTGAGAAACAGAGAGCTAATACTTTTAACATTTAACGGAAAAATATGTATTGTTTGATTCAAAAACACTTCTGCTTTGGGAGTTTTGAAAAAACGGAAACCAAGAAATCACTTCGAAGAGAGTGGCCATATCTGCTGTCCTTTTAGATATAAACTCTTGTTCTGGCAATATGCTATCTATGATATTTAAAAAATAAAACAAAACAAAACAAAAAACTAGTAATTAGTGTTTCAGCCTCTTAAAGTCCAACATGACCTCTTGCATTTCAACCCAGATTGTTCATTGATCTTTTTGTAGTTTCTGTGAGGCACACATAGAAAATGCTAAAAGGAAGGTTTGATTTCGTGGGTTAGTTGTTTGTTCACTAGACATTTCACCTACTGCAAATAACCTAAATGATTTGGGGGGAGATATTTAAAAACGCCTAGGGAAGTGCTCATTTCCTTTTTAAGAAATTGGTGCCCTCTTGTGGCACGAAGTGGGATAAACGTGGAAAGCCTGGGTTCCCCCCACTCGTTTCTTCCTTTGACTCTGGTAATGTTTCCTTGCATATGACAAGCCTCTAAATGTTTAACAAATTGTGTATTTGTCTTTGTTGAAGAACTTGGAAGTGTGTTCAAAGTATTTAAGTCTACTTTTTATGTTAATATTTAAAACATTCAACCTAATTTTGATCTGCCAAACATTTCACTAAAAAAACAATCTTACCCCCCTTCTCCCCTCCCTCACCTTTTTCTCCTCCCCCCAGTATTGCTGCTAAAGACGCTCTGGAGAGACACTTTGGAGAGCAAAATAAACCTTCCTCTCAAGAGATCATGCGGATGGCTGAAGAACTGAATCTTGAGAAAGAAGTAGTAAGAGTTTGGTTTTGCAACCGAAGGCAGAGAGAAAAACGAGTGAAAACAAGTCTGAGTCAAAGTTTATTTTCTATTTCTAAGGAGCATCTTGAGTGCAGATAAGATTTCCTATTCTGTTATAGCCAATTTTTCTGTTTTTCATTCCTTTCTCTTGTCCAACAAAAATACATATTAGTTACTTGGTTGGCTTCAACAACCATTTTAGACCAATAACTCTTGTAGAAGCTTTTCTTTTCTACTATTTTTTTTTAAAGAATGCAATTTAAATATATCGATGAATTATTTTCCTTAAAATAATTATTGTCAGAAGCCACATTGTACATTTTAAGCCAAAGATACTAATGGGAATAAAACTACAAGTCAGTCTCTCCCTTTCTCTCTTTCCACGCACACAGACATATGAGTGTGCATTCAGATCTTTTAGTTTAACAGCTCTTTTTCCAAGGCTGTTTATAAGCTTTTTAATAGTTCAGTTGGAAATGGCACATATTTAAAGAATATAACCAGGGAAGATCCAATTAGAAAAATACATTAACTAGTGTCCTGCTTACTAGGAGCTCTAATAGTTTGTTTAAAGGAAAAGTTATGAACTTAAGAGCCAGAGGTGTCCTTGAATTTTATTATCGCATTTAGGAATAAACCTCAATCATAACTGACACCTTCGAAGCTAATATTTAGGATACAGAGCTCAAAGAAGTGTTTCAAAAGAGATCTCTAGAAACATTAACTTATGATCTTTTTATCCTTCCCAGACTAAACATCCTTTTTGATGTTTAGCTATAGAACATACACTTTATAGATTCTTCCCAAACTGTTAGTGTGTAAGCTGCAGCAGGGCAAGGAAGTTATCTCCTTGTTTGCTGTTTCTCCAGTGCTTGGAAAAGTGTTTGCTTGTGGCTGGCATGCAGTCTTTGTTAAATGAAGGGGTGTATCGTTAACAATGGCTACAAACACGAAGGGTGCTGCCTAATTTAAAAATGTAATCTATATTTGAAATCTCATAATCCATTAAACCATCTGGGATCCTATAAAAAAAAGATCACTTTGCGAATAATTGGTTAGAATATGATTTATTGTTAATAAAACAGTTTAATATATTGAGCTTTTCAATTCTGGAAATTATATCCCAAAGAACCTATTTATTTAACTTATAAGAATGGATGACTTTGAAACTTGTAAGTAGAAGCAAACTATAATGTGATATTAACCAAGAATAGAATAGTGAGTTTTTTTTGTTTGGTTGGGTTTTTTTTTTTTTTTTTTGCATTTTGAATGTAAATCTGCTGGCAATATTTATCTAACTTATTTTATATAACAAAAATGGAAACAATTAGACCAAATTTTATTGTTGACCCAGAATGCTTACTAAGTAACTTGTACTGTCCAGTCTTTTACTTTTTATATTATTAAAGACCTAGCATTCATATAGGTCATAAGCTACACAGATCACATATATATATGCAAACATAATCACCATCAATTAGATGGGTAGAAACTTTAACGTATTACTAAGATAGATATATTACTAAAATAAGATAGTTTTCAGTGGCCTGATCATCCATGCTTAAGCATACATTTAGCACCCAAGAAATATTATATACAATATTGTTC